GCGGCGACCGGAGCAGCAGCAGCGGCCGGAGCAGTGGCCGAGGCCATCTATCCTGTGCGCCCTCTCCTCCTCCTCCTACTCCTCCTCCTCTGCCTCCTCCTCCTCCTCCTCCTCTTCCTCCGTTTCCTCCTCCTCTCCTTGTCCTTGTCCTCCTCCTCCTCCTCCTCTCGTCCTCTTCCTCCTCCTCCTCCTCCTCCTCCTCCTCCTCCTCCTCCTCCTCTCCTTGTCCTTGTCTTTGTCCTCCTTGTCCCTCCTCCTCCTCCTCCTCCTCCTCCTCCTCCTCTTCCTTCTCCTCCTCCTCCTCCTCCTCCTCTTCCTCCCCCTCCACCGCCCCAATCCTCCATCCGTTCCTGACACATGCAGCCAACGCAATCGCAACAGGACCACTTCGGGCTCAGGGCGGGCTGCCATGGTGTAGATCTAGGTCGGGGACCTTGTTCGTGGTCAGAGAAGCCCCATTCGTTCCTTTCCCAGGTTTTGTTTTGTCTAGATCTAGGTCGGGGAACTGTTTCGTGGTCGGAGAAGCCCATTCGTTCCTTTCCCAGTCGCGGTAGCGGTAGCACAAGAAGCACCGTTCTTCCTTGCCGCGCCCCTGGACGTGTCGGCATGGCGGGCCCGGGCGTGTGGCTCGAGTTTTTGCAGGTGCATGCTACTGCGGGTATGGTATCGGTAAGACGACGCGAAGATCGGGACAAAATCGGATCGGGATAACTCGAAGTCTCTGAGAATCGGCGGGCGTGGAGGATGTCTTGGGCGCCGCGGCCGCTCCAGAGCGTTCCGGAACGCTCTGAGAGCGCCCTGGAACGCTCTGGAGCGATTTAGAGCCTGTTTTTTTAGTTTCTGGCAAGTTTACTTGCATGGACGGGGGGTGGGGGGGGCTGAGCCTGAAGCAAGCCCGGGGGGGGGGGGGCGCGGAAATCACGCAAGTCGAAAGGCACTTGCACGCTAGTATTCGATGGAAGAGGGGCGGGGGGGGGGGGGGGGGGGCGAACGCCATGCAAGTAGACTTGCCAGAATCCACAAAAGAAAACAGGCTCTTATCCCGATCCGATTTTGTCCCGACCTTCGCGTCGTTTGATGCACGCCTTCCTGGGTGGCACCTCGCGAGGCCCGGCGTCCGGCCTCCAGCGGGCAGCTCGCCCCCGGGCGGCGCGCTGCGCGCGGCGCGCCACCCGGGGGGAGGGCCCAGGCGCCTCTCCCTGGCGGGCCCGGGAGGGGCCAGGAGCCCTGTCAGGTCCTCGCGGCCCCACTTGCCGATTGCGTGGTGGATGCCATGACAATTGACGCTCTTATCCCGATCCCAGCCCTGTTTCATATGGTATTGGCACAGCAGGGGGGCGGGGCACGCGCGCTCCCCACACGAGGCCATCGGAGGCGAGCCCCCCCTCTCCGCGCGTGGTGCTGCTGCTCGGCTGGGGCGCGCCGTCGCAGGCGGCGGCTCTCCCACGCTCGAGGCGCAGTGCCTAATTACCTCCTCCTCCTCCTCCTCCTCCTCCTCCTCTCCTCCTCCTCCTCCTCCTCCTCCCCCCCTCCTCCTCCCCCTCCCCCTCCTCCTCCTCCTCCTCCTCCTCCTCCTCCTCCTCCTCCCCCTCCTCCTCCTCCCTCCTCCTCCTCCTCCCTCCTCCTCCTCCTCCTCCTCCTCCTCCTCCTCCTCCTCCTCCTCCTCCTCCTCCTCCTCCTCCTCCTCCTCCTCCTCCTCCTCCTCCTCCTCCTCCTCCTCCTCCTCCTCCTCCTCCTCCTCCTCCTCCTCCTCGGTTCTCTGATTTTTTTGGGGGCCAAGATCCTGTCATTTCTGATTGTTCTATCCTGGGCCTCTTCCTGGCCACGAGGGGGCCAGGAACAATTAGAAACGAGCACAGTTAGAGCTAAGCACGATTAGAAGTGAACTGCGTGTAGCGTGGCGGCCACAGAGTTGCGCCACGAACATTGCGCGCGGCTGCGTCCCGCTCAGACATTCTGATGCGCAAAACGGGCGGCCGACCAAAAGTTGCAACGCGGGGAAGTGTCCTCAGAGAGTCTTTGACTGCACCAGTGGGCCAACAAAGTGGCCCGGACGCGTTTCCAAAGGGGACCAGTGCTGCCCTGCCATGAACGAAGGAATCCGAACATGTGCGTCTACTCTTGGCGGGTCACGGCCGCGCGGACGCGGGCATTGCCGCGCAAACCCTTGGGGTCTGACGTTGCTCTATTAGCCGGATAATGCTAGATTAAAGTCGTGCCCGTCCCTCTACAGGGGGGATGTTCAAACATAGGAAAACATAGTATTGGGACTATTGTTTTTTTTGGGGGGGGGCATCTTATGAATATGTTGTGAGTTTTTAAATAATAAATAAATAATATTTGTCGTCGAAATCCCAAATCCCCCTGTAGGGGGACAGGCCCGACTTAATGCTGGATGCTTCGCGCGCGCGCACTTTCAGTTGCGCAGTAGACCGGCGGTGCAGTTGCCGCTCCGAGCACGTTCAAACCAGTGCAGAGTAACAACGGGCCCCTGGAGGGCCCCTAAAGTGTGTCACGGGCGTTGCTTTCTCCACCTCTCATGTGTAGACTTAAGTTGGGCCTGTTCCTCTACAGGGGTAATATTCAAAAATAGCAAAAAGATAGTCGGGGGACTATTTTTTGAGTATTTTTGGGCATCTTTTGAGCATTTTGTTGTGTGTTCGTCCAAAATCCCCCTGTAGGGGGACAGGCCCGCTTTAAGTGTAGACCCCAATTACCACTCACCCGAGACCTCCCCATTACTTACAATCTTGAAGCTTGAAGCTTGCAACGGGTTCGAGGACAGAGGAAGGGTCGTTTCCAAAATGGGTCTCTCACCACAGCCCCGCGAGCATGATTCTTCCAAGCCTGCAACAGCGACAATGATTGGAAAGACGGTGGCTCCCAAAATGGGGATCTCGCTCTGAGGCCGCGCACGCTGTTCTTTCAGAATCAAGGTTGTCAAGAGCCTCGGGGGATGGGCGTCGGCCCCTGTCTGCATGGTTCAGGAGAGAAAGAAACACACAGACGCAATTGATCGCCGGCTCCCAGGAACAGATGGGAAACTATGGGAAGCGGGGGGGAAGACAACAGCCCAGAGGATATGGGAAAACATAGGGGAATCTTTGTATTTGTGTGTATTTATGTGTGTGTGTCCTGCTGCACCAGCACCTGGGACGCCCGAGGGATCCGGGGTAACTGCGGTCCGGGAACGTCGGCGGTGGACAGGAATAGGGGAGTAGGGGAGGAGGAGGAGGAGGAGGAGGAGGAGGAGGAGGAGGAGGAGGAGGAGGGGAGAATATTTGTGTGTCCCAGGGCCCCTTCAATGGTGCCCTCGCCTCAGCGCCGCGCCCCTTCGTCCCGCGCGCTCCCAACCATGGCAGGGACGGAGGGCGGCTCCTCTTCCAGGCGGGGCTTTCCCGTGGCACCTCCTCGGACTCGACTTCCGTCGGGCCTGCCCTCCTCCCTCCTCCTCCTCCTCCTCCTCCTCCTCCTCCTCCTCCTCCTCGAAGACAGCCAAAGAATATTCAGGGGGCGATGTGTTATTCTTTGTGTTGACGATTGTTGGATAGTTTTGGAGCGTTTTTTGTTCGTCCGACATCCGCTTGGCATACGGTTGGAAGGCCAGGACCTGGAACATCTGTGTCAGCTGCACGGAGCGAGGACGGCGCCTTCTCTTATAGCGGTTTGTTTCGAATTCGGAGGTCAGGAGCTGAACGTCGGGGTGCCGCTGCACGGGTTGAGGGTGGCTTCCTGGGGGGGGGACTTCGCTCGAGAAGTTCTGGACACCCACGGCCAGAAGTGCACTCCCCGCGTGCAGCAGGCAAACCCCCTTTGTGCAGCAGTTGCGCAAGGGGGGGCGGTGCTTGTTCCACCCGGGCACGGTCTAACGTTGGATAGCTCGTTGATTTGTGCGATAACTTTCCTAGAGAAGGTAGAAGAATGCAATGATGGGTGCAGAGGGGGCCCATGCCAAGAAACACCCTGCTTGCCTCCAGGGTGCCCTGGGTTTCTTGGGCTTCGATGGTTCTGCCATGGAGAGCGCGACGCGCCCACACCAAACATCGATGGGCGTCCTGGGGTCGCAGGGTTGGGTTCCTTTTGGAAGGTTTCTTGCGGACGGGACCCTACTGTAACCCCCTTAGACGGTGGACGGGGCCCTACTCTAACCCCCTTAGACGGTACACAATGGTGCAAGGCAGTCTGCGGCTCGTTGCCAGGGGGCGGCAGCGGCTCATCAATTGGAGCGGTTATATCCCCCGTGAGGGGAAGCGGACTCCAGAATCACCGGAGCGGGGGATGCTGTGGGTGGGTGCCTGCGCGGGGAAAACAGCATGGCTGATTGGCCCGTTTTCCACCACCACCGCCAGAAGCCAGAGGGGGGAGGGAGGGGGAGGGGGAGGACGAGGAGGAGGAGGAGAAAGCGGCGGAGGATGCAGAGGAGGAGGAGGCGGAGGAGGAGGAGGCGGAGGACCCCCCTCCCCCCTGCCAGCTCGTGGTGGTGGCGGCGGAGAGCAGGCCCCTCACGGTGGTGCCAGGCAGTCTGCCCTCCTCGGCACCGCGAGGGCCTCGCCCGCCATGGCAGACCCACAAGGCGCGAGAGGGGGCGGCCTCTGCGGGGGCCGGCGGCGGCGAGGGGGGGCCCGGGGACGGGGAGGCGCGGAGAGCAGCAGCGCTGCTGCACCTCGGGCCTGCGCGGTGGAAAGACAACGCACACAGAGGCTCGATGCTCGTTTCGGGTACCTTCCTGGAGCCCACCTAGCGGATCTGTTCGACCCCAGTTCGACTGAAGTTAGATTCAAGTTCGACTCAAGTACGACTCAGGTTCGGCTCAGGGTCGACCCAACTCGACTGACGTTCGACGCAGCTTCGACGCACGAATGGAGCGAGTGGCTCCAGGAAGGTCCCCAGAACGAGCATCCAACAGAGGTGGGGGGAACAAAGGCACACGGTGGAACCAAACCGCACGGTGGAGCAAAAACACACACGCAGAGACACAGAGACACAGACGCAGACGCAGACACAGACGCAGACACAAAGACACAGACACAGACGCAGACGCAGACGCAGACACAGACGCAGACGCAGACGCAGACGCAGACACAGACGCAGACGCAGATGCAGACACAGACGCAGACACAGACACAGACGCAGACGCAGACGCAGACACAAACGCAGACGCAGACGCAGGCACAGACACAGACACAGACACAGACACAGACGCAGACACAGACGCAGACGCAGACGTAGACACAGACGCAGACACAGACGCAGATACAGACGCATACGCAGACACAGACGCAGACGCAGACACAGACACAGACGCAGACACAGACACAGACACAGACGCAGACGCAGACAGACGCAGACGCAGACACAGACGCAGACGCAGACGCAACGCAGAGCAGACACAGGCGCAGACGCAGACACAGACCAGACGCAGAGACGCAGACGCAGACAGACACAGACGCAGACAGCACACAGACACAGACACGCAGACACAGACGCAGACGCAGACGCAGACGCAGACGCAGACACAGACGCAGACACAGTCACAGACACAGACACAGACACAGACGCAGACGCAGACGCAGACGCAGACGCAGACACAGACACAGACGCAGACACACACGCAGACACAGACACAGACGCAGACGCAGACACAGACACAGACGCAGACACAGACGCAGACACGGACACAGACACAGACGCAGACGCAGACACAGACGCAGACGCAGACACAGACTCAGACGCAGACACAGACAGACGCAGACACAGACGCAGACGCAGACACAGACTCAGACGCAGACACAGACACAGACGCAGACGCAGACACAGACACAGACGCAGACACAGACACAGACGCAGACGTAGACACAGACACAGGCGCAGGCACAGACACAGACGCAGACGCAGACACAGACGCAGATGCAGACACAGTCACAGACGCAGACGCAGACACAGACGCAGACGCAGACACAGACACAGGCGCAGACGCAGACGCAGGCACAGTCACAGACACAGACACAGACACAGACACAGACGCAGACACGGACACAGACGCAGACGCAGACGCAGACGCAGACACAAACGCAGACACAGACACAGACGCAGACGCAGACACAGACGCAGACGCAGACACAGACACAGACGCAGACGCAGACACAGACGCAAACGCAGACAGTGACACAGACACAGGCACAGACACAGACACAGACGCAGACGCAGACACAGACACAGATGCAGACGCAGACACAGACACAGACGCAGACACAGACCCAGACGCAGACGCAGACGCAGACGCAGACGCAGACGCAGACACAGACGCAGACACAGACACAGACACAGACACAGACGCAGACGCAGACACAGACGCAGACGCAGACGCAGACGCAGACGCAGACACAGACACAGACACAGACACAGACACAGACGCAGACGCAGACACAGACGCACACGCAGACACAGACTCAGACGCAGACACAGACACAGACGCAGACGCAGACACAGACGCAGACACAGACACAGACACAGACACAGACGCAGACGCAGACACAGACACAGACGCAGACGCAGACGCATACTCAGACGCAGCCACAGACACAGACGCAGACGCAGACGCAGACGCAGACGCAGACACAGACGCAGACGCAGACACAGACACAGACACAGACACAGACTCAGACGCAAACGCAGACGCAGACGCAGGCACAGACACAGACACAGACACAGACACAGACGCAGACACAGACGCAGACGCAGACACAGACACAGACGCAGACACAGACACAGACGCAGACGCAGACTCAGACTCAGACGCAGACGCCGACGCAGACGCAGACACAGACACAGACGCAGACGCAGACACAGACGCAGACGCAGACACAGACACAGACGCTGACGCAGACACAGACGAAGACGCAGACACAGACACAGACACAGACGCAGACACAGACACAGACGCAGACGCAGACACAGACGCAGACGCAGGCACAGAGACAGACGCAGACGCAGACACAGACGCAGACACAGACACAGACACAGACGCAGACACAGACACAGACACAGACACAGACGCAGACGCAGACACAGACACAGACGCAGTCACAGAGACAGACGCAGACACAGACACAGACACAGACACAGACGCAGACGCAGACGCAGACGCAGACACAGACACAGACGCAGACACGGACACAGACGTAGACGCAGACGCAGACGCAGACAGTGACACAGACACAGACACAGACACAGACACAGACGCAGACAGTGACACAGACACAGACACAGACACAGACACAGACGCAGACGCAGACACAGACACAGATGCAGACGCAGACACAGACACAGACGCAGACACAGACGCAGACGCAGACGCAGACGCAGACACAGACACAGACACAGACGCAGACGCAGACGCAGACACAGACACACACACACACAGACGCAGACGCAGACGCAGACACAGACACAGACACAGACACAGACACAGACACAGACGCAGACACAGACGCAGACGCAGACGCAGACACAGACACAGACGCAGACACAGACACAGACACAGACGCAGACGCAGGCACAGACACAGACACAGACACAGGCACAGACGCAGACACAGACGCAGACACAGACACAGACGCAGACACAGACACAGACGCAGACGCAGACACAGACGCAGACGCAGACGCAGACACAGACACAGACGCAGACGCAGACACAGACACTGACGCAGACACAGACACTGACGCAGACACAGACACAGACGCAGACATGCCCACGTGCATGCGCACGCGCACGCGCATGCGCACGCGCACGCGCACGCGCACGCACGCGCACGCGCGCGCGCACGCGCCGCGCACGCAAGCGCACGCACGCGCACACGCACACCACACGCAGCACGCACACGCACACGCACACGCACACGCAACACGCACAACACGCACACGCACGCGCACGCGCACACGCGCACACGCACACGCACACGCGCACGCACACGCACACACGCACATGCACGCCACACGCGCACACGCACACGCACGCACGCACGCACGCACACACGCACACACGCACGCACGCACGCACGCACACACGCACACACGCACACACGCACGCACACACGCACACACGAACACACCCACACACCCACACACCACACACGCACACACGCCACACGCACACACGCACACGCGCACACACACACACACACACACACACACACGCACGCACGCACGCACGCACGCACGCACGCGCACGCACGCACGCGCACGCGCACGCGCACGCGCACGCGCACGCGCACGCGCACGCGCACGCGCACGCGCACACGCACACGCACACGCACACGCACACGCACACGCACGCGCACGGTGGACAAAAACAGCCACGGTGGAGCAGCAACACGCCGTGTTCTTTGCCACCTGTGTCCTTTCCCACCTTTTCGTTCTCGGACCACCTCGCCTCTGCCCCGCCCGCCTCGACCCCGCCTCTCCCCCGCCCCGCCGCCCCCCCCCCCCCTCCGCGCAGGAGGCCTCCGCCCGGCGGGAGGCCGAGGAGCGGAGGCTGGCGCAGGAGCGGGAGGACGCCGAGCTGGCGGCCCGGCTGGCCCAGGCCCCTCTCCGCGGGGGGGTCGGGGGCGGCCGAGAGGGGGGTGATGATTAGGGGGGGTGGGTATTATGGCGTGGGCCATGATATTTCCTCAGACTTCATGGCGCCTCTTCTTCTTTCATTGCGTCCCTGGGTCCTCCGCCTGGGCCGCGCGCGTGCCCCCAGCCATGATTTGCACCCCCCCCTCTTTGACGCCCCCGTCTTGGCCGCCCCCGAGGGGGGAGGGGGGGGGGGGGGCGCCTTTGGCACCCCCCGCGGCGCCGGCAGGCCTGCGCAGCCGGGAGTTCTCCGACGCTCTCCGGTGCCGTCAGCACGGGCGCGCTTGCTGCAGATCTCGGCCTCGGGGAGCCCCTCGTCGGGCCCCCGGGACCCGCTCAGCATGCGCAGTGGGGGCCGAGGCCAAGAAGCACCCTGCCTGCCTCCACGGTGGCCCCCGGGTTCCTCGGGCTTCGGTGGTTCTGCCGTGGAGAGAGCGCAGCGTGCCCACGCCAAACACCGACGGGCATCCTGGGGTCGCAGGGCTGGGTTTCTTGTGGAGGTTTTCTGGTGGTCGGGCCCCTGCTGTTGTGGAAGTCGATTATAATGGAGAGGAAGCAGGCTGCCAAGTGGTTTCCAGATGCCAGAACATGCTTCATACATGTTTTTGACTGTGAAAAAGTATGCTTGAAATATTGTTAGAACAGGTGTTACAATTTCAAACACATTTTCAATTCCACGATAGGATTGTTAGAGTGTTCATTGCCGTGGCATCCACAACCCTACTGCACATGGGACGGAAAACCACTCCCAGAGAGGGTCTCCGGGGCCGTCGTCGGCCCGATGGCGTTGTCAGCACGGGCGCCGGCCCGACGATCCGATGCTGTCAGCACGGGCGCCTGTTGTGGCAGATCTCGGCTTCCGGGGGCCCGGGGCCCGTTCAGCACGTGCCTCCTTCCGGGGCGGGCCACGACTCCCCGAGAGGGCCTCTCGGAGGTGACGGCGGGGGGCGAGCAGCGCGGGGGCGAGCGTTGCACGCACTCGCCCGGGAGCCTCGCCGAGGGCATGGGCCATCGTGCAGCCGCGCGCCTCCGCGCGCCAGTCAGGGGCACTGTCAGGGAGGGGGCGGGCTAGGGGGGGGGCGCATCGGCCCCCGATGGCCCATGCGTCGCCGATGGGAGCCGCGGGCGATGAGAGGGAGAAGGAGAGGAGGAGGAGGAGGAGGAGGAGGAGGAGGAGGAGGAGGAGGAGCAGGAGGAGGAGGAGGAGGAGGAGGAGAGGAGGAGGAGGAGGAGGAGGAGGAGGAGGAGGAGGAGGAGGAGAGGAGGAGGGAGAGGAGGATGAGGAGGAGGAGGAGGGGGAGAGGAGGAGGAGAGATGAGGAGGAGGGGGAGGGGGAGGAGGGAGGAGGAGGGAGGAGGATGAGGAGCAGGTGGAGGAGGGGGAGGAGAAGAGGGATCAGGAGGAGGAGGAGGAGGAGGAGAAGGAGCAGGGTGAGGAGGAGGAGGAGGAGGAGGAGGAGGGGGAGGAGAAGAGGGAGGAGGAGGAGGAGGAGGAGGAGGAGGAGGAGGAGGAGCAGGAGGAGGAGCTCCTCCGCCCCTGGCTCGCCCAAGCCGCCTCTGTCTCGGCCCACGGTGTGGTCACCTCACCGTTTGTGGGACCTCCCGAGGCCCTCGGCCGACCGCGGGCCACGGGGTCTGGTGGTGGGTCGTCGTTTCGGGGGGAGGACAGGTCCGAGGCGAGGATTTGCCCATACAGTCGGGGCCCTGAAGAAGGAACCCTTTTCGTTGGGGAGGGGCTCCGTGTTCCTTAAGCGTTTCACAGCTTGCCTTGGATGTTCATTAGGTTTTCGATACGAAATCGAAGTTCAACTTATGGAAAATAGGGGCCTCGTTCCTTATTGAGGGTTCCTTAGGTCAACGCCTCGACTGTAATCGGAAACTGGAACATACATATTACCAGTGGCGGGCTGTCTTTCAGTCCCAGGTTTTCTCGAGGGTCAATGGCGACGCTGGGATGGTGTGGTATGTAAACTGTTTTCCCCGATGCCCCGGGGAAGCAACGAAAAATGTGTACACCAGGGTCCCGTATACACCAGGATCCGCTCTCCAGAGCAAATTCGAATGCAGGGCCGGAAGAAGCGTCGGTGCAAAGAGTTCGATTCCCCACACGACCACCCTCTGTGGGATCGATGTGCTGGGGCCGAGCACATTTGCATCCGCCGCCTGCCTGGGTAGTCGAAGGCCAGACTGTCAGATTGGATCGGGCCCCAAGGGGCAATCTGGCCTGGCCAAACTGGATGATTTGGGTTAGTCGCCAGACTGGATTCGCGTCTCCCTCGCCAGATTGCCCCCGTTTGCCAGATTGGGCCTGCCAGATTGGCGCCAGATTGGCTTCGATTACCCAGCCTGCTCAATTGCACAGCTGGCACGCGCAGCCCTCTGAAGTCCCCAGGTTTGCCCCAGTGCGACCCAGCCGGGGCCCCGGACTACGGCTGAGCACTCTCACCGGAGAAGGGATGGGAGCAAGGGGGAAGGAAAGTGGATGCAGGGGGGAGGGATGAAGGAGGATCCTTCCCTCCTCTTGGCACCAGCTTGAGCCGAGACCCCCGCGAGCCCCTGTCGGACCTGTCGAGCTGGTACCCAGGCCGGATAGTGAGCGGTGGTTCTGTGTAAACCCCGGCCTCGGCAGCAGGGCCAGGGGGGGCAGACCTTAAGGGGGGGCCCAGGCCGCGCCTGGGGAGCTCTCTCCCGGCAGGCCGCTCCCCTTGGCCCTCGACGCCCTCTGGCCTGCCTGCCTCCGGACTTCGGGGCGGTGAAGGCCCACCCTGACTTCGGATCCGCTCTACTTTGGCTTTTTTCCAACTTAAAATTGCGTCGGAAATCCACTTAGAAGAGGCCGAAAAAGTAGAACGGAAATTGCTGCACCCAACATAAAATAGGGCGGAAATCCACAGAAACAGCAACAGAAAAGTAGGGCGGAAACTGGCATCAGCGGGGCTTGAAAAGTAAGGCGGAAATTCCAAGCCCCACTTACGAATTTCCCCAAAGTAGGGCGGATCCGGAGTCAGGGCAGGCTGCGGCTCGTGGACTGGCCAAAGCCAGTGCAGTCTTGATTGCGACCAGTTCTCGTGAGATTCCCCACTCAGAGCTTGCCTCTGCGGGGGTCCTAGCGGATTCAGATGGTTAGGTCAGGTTTGTCTCCGATTTTCGCGGCACGCCCGGGTGCCCGGGGGTGCCTGGGGCCCTGATGCCCGGGGGGTGCCCGGGGATGCCCAGGTGCCCGGGTGCCCGGGTGCCCGGGTGCCCGGGCGTGCCTGGGGGTGCCCGGAGGTGCCCTATAGCCCTAAGCCCTATAGCCCTACAGCCCTATAGCCCAATAGCCCTATAGTCCTAGAACTCTGCAGCCCTAGCTCAATAGTCCTATAGCTCAATAGCCCTATAGCCCTATAGCCCCCCAGCCCTATAGCCCTGATTGGGGTTTGTCTCCGGTACCATTTTTCAATTAGTTACGTAGTATGCCCAGGTGTATCTTCGCCTCAAAGCCTGCGTGTTGTCAAGTTTGGTATTTGTTGGAGTCTCTTTGGTCGGGGACCGTGCTTGGGCGATGCTTGGCAAGCCACGGCCAGGGGCGGTTTTCCGCCCAGCCGCACCCCAGTGCCAGGAAGAAGAGCAGATCCAGCAGCAGCGGCTGGAGAGTGACGAGGACCGCAGGGAGCAGATTCCCAATCAATGGAGGACGGCGATTGCTGCACAGGTTCTTGTCGGTTTCGTGCGTCCAACAACGCAAATGAGCAGCAGTGACCATCAAATTCGTGCTCCCCTGGTAGCCTGGTCCATGGCGCTTTGGACCTTTCGTCCTTCCTTGCGCTGCCCCGCGTCTATATAGTTACGAGTGAAAGCGCTAGTAATGTTCCCCCCATTGCACTCAGGGGATCGTTCTTGTCTGCATGAGTTCTCAATGGCTTTCGGCCGGTGAGCGCCCGTGCGCGCTTCTAGGGCGCCTCGTGCGCTGGCTGGACGTGTTTTGTTCCCAACCATCCTGTGGTTTTGGGTCCTCGTTTTGAAGAGACGGTCCCCGCGTCTCCTCCTCCCTCGTCCCTCCTTTCTCCTCCCCCTCCCCGCTGCTCCCTCCTCCCTGCGTTTCACCGGCCCAGTACAGCGCTTCGTGGCCTCATAGGGAGCTCCAGCGAAGGCCCCAACGGGGGTGACCACATGCGTCCGCCACACCCACTACAGCGCTTCGTGGCCCCATAGGGAGCTCCAACTAAGGCCCAAGTGGGGGTGGCCACATGCGTCCACCACGCCCAGTACAGCGCTTCGTGGCCCCATAGGGAGCTCCACCCAAGGCCCCAGTGGGGGAAGCCACATGCGTCCGCCACACCCATTACAGCGCTTCGTGACCCCATAGAGACCTCCACCTAAGGCTTCAGTGGGGGTGGCCACATACGTCCGCCACACCCAGTACAGCGCTTCGTGGACCCATAGGGAGCCCCACCTGCGGCCCCAGTGGGGGTGCCCGCATGCGTCACCCCCACCCAGTACAGCGCTTCGTGGCCCCATAGGGAGCTCCACCTAAGGCCCCAGCGGGGGTGCCCGCATGCGTACGCCACAACCAGTACAACGCTTCGTGTCCTCTTAGTGAGCTCCACCGAAGGCCCCAGTGGGAGTGGCCACATGCGTCCGCCCCACCCAGTACAGCGTTTCGTGGCCCCATAGGTAGCTCCGCGTAAGGCCCCAGTCGGGGTGGCCACATGCGTCCGCCACACCCAGTATCCTCTCTCCTCTCTCCTCCTCCTGCCCCTCCTCCTCCCCCTCCTCCCCCTCCTCCCCCTACTCCCTCCTCCTTGCGCTTCCCCCACCCAGTGCAGCGCTTTGTGGCCCCATATGGAGCTCCAGCGAAGGCCCAAGTGGGGGTGCCCGCATGCGTACGCCACACCAAGTACAGCGTGCCACGACCCTATATGGAGCTCCAGCGAAGGCCCCAGCGGGGGTGCCCGCATGCGTTCGCCACACCCAGTACAGTGTTTCGTGGCCCCATAGGGAGCTCCACCGAAGGCCCCAGTTGTGGGTTGCCCGCATGCGTCCGCCACACCCAGTACAGTGTTTCGTGGCCCCATAGGGAGCCCCACCGGAAGCCCCAGTGGGGGTGCCCGCATGCGTCCGCCACACCCAGTACAGTGTTTCGTGGCTCCATAGGGAGCTCCACCGAAGGCCCCAGTGGCACCGCCCGCAAGCGTCACCCCCACCCAGTACAGTGTTTCGTGGCCTCATATGGAGCTCCACCAAAAGCCGCAGTGGGGGGGCCCGCCATACAGTACAGCGTTTTATGGCCCTATATGGAGCTCCAGCGAAGGTCCTAGTGGGACCGCCCGCATGCGTCCCCCCACCCAGTGCAGCGTTCCATGGCCCCATATAGCGGCTTCACCGAAGGCCCCAATGGCACCGCCCGCATGCGTCTCCACAACCCACTACAGCGCGTCGTGGCCTCACAGGGAGCTCCACCGAAGCCCCAGTCGCACCACCCGCATGCGTGCCCTTCACCTATTACCGCACGCCCCATCACGCGTTGCGTCGCACACAAGTAGTGGCAGCCACAACGCGTTTCTCACAGCTACATCTGGTTGGGCCCTTGGCCAGGCTAATTTTTTTTGTAGGTGGGCGTTCGTAGGCGTGTCGTGGGCGCCCCATGCAGTGGCTGTATTCGCGGGCTCGTTTGTCTGCTGGGCCTAGTGGACGCCGCATGCGCTGAGTGGCGTTTCTGGGTTATTCGCCCCCGTGGACGCCTCGCCCGCTGGCTTGAACAGAGTGTGTTGCACAACGTTTGCACCTCATAACATAGCTTGCACCTCATACGTAGCACACAGCACATTGCACCACAGATAATGCCAACATGCGCTGTACAACTTATATATATATCTATATGTATACATAGATGGCCCCACATCGCGTGCACAGCACAGCTTACATGTCATATCCTGCATTGAAATGTTGCGCCACAAAGCTTACACCACACGGACTCCATCCCACAGCTTGCACCACCTAGCTTGAGTTCGCATAGCTTGCACCTCACATCTTGCACCACATAGCCTGCACCCGCATAGCTCCATCCCGCATAGCCTGCACCGCAAATCCTGACGTGTGTGTGTGTGGGCGAGGCGAGGCGAAGTTACACGAGTTCTTGCCTTACTGGGGCCAGGCGAGGACTCAAAAGGCTCCGGCTCCTTGGTGCCCTGGGCGTGCCTGGGGATTGTCCCGTGGTTGTCTGGTGGTTCTCCCGCGGTTGTTCCGTGGTTGTCCTGTGGTTCTCTCGATGGTTGTCCCCTGGTTGTCCCGATGATTGTCATGCTATGGATGTCCTTACGGTCTCCCCACGGTTGTCCCGATGGATGTCCCGATGGTTGTCCCGATGATTGTCCCGTAGTTGTCCCACGGGTTGTCTCGTCGTTGTTCCGTGGTTGTGATCGTCCCGCTGTTGTCCCGTGGTTGTCCCGTGGTTGGCCGTGGTCGTCTTGCGGTTGTCCCGTGGCTGTGCCGTTGTCGTCCCGCGGTTGTCCTTCGGGGTGTCCCGCGGTTGGCTGTGATCGTCCTGCGATTGTCTCGTGGTCGGCACGGGAGCGCCCCGTCTGCAGATGGATCATTGCATCGTGAGACTGGTATATACACATGCATGCATGTATATTGTATAGCTACAGAAAACAAACCTATGATTACATATGAACAAATAACTCTGTGTATATATGTATATGTATATGTGTATGTGTGTATGTATGTATGTATGCATGCATGCATGCATGCATGTAGGTAGGTAGGTAGGTAGGTAGGTAGGTAGGTAGATCGGTCGGTCGGTCGGTCGGTCGGTAGGTCGGTCGGTAGGTAGGTAGGTTGGTAGGTAGGTAGGTAGGTATGCATGTGTGCATGTGTGCATGTATGCATGTATGTGTGTATGCATGCATGCATGCATGCATTCATGCATGCATGTATGTATGTGCATGCATGCATGCATGTATGTGTGTGCATGCATGCAATGCATGCATGCATGCATGATGCATGTGCACGTGTTTATTGTTGTATATGCATGCATGTATGTATGGTATGTATGTATGGTAGTAGGTAGTAGGTCGGGTCGGTCGGTCGGTCCGGTCGGTCGGTAGGTAGGCAGGTAGGGTAGGTGTGTGTATGTATGCATGTGTGCATGTGTGCATGCATTATGTATATATGCATGCATGCAAGAACGTATGTGTGTGTATGCATGCATGCACGTGTGTATGTGTGTATGTATGTATGTAGGTCGGTAGGTAGGTAGGTAGGTAGGGTATGGTGGTATGGCATGTTATGGAATGGTACGGTATGTATGTATGTATGTATGTATGTATGTATGGATGTATGTATGTACGTATGTCTGTATGTATGCATGCATGTAAATATGTATGTATGCCGGTAAACATATAAACATATATATATATATATATATATATATATATATATGTGTATACACGTAGGCCACGAGGCGGGGGGGTCCTCCATGGGGGCCCTCGACAGCGCATGGGGGGACCCGTCTGCCAGGGACGCCCCCAGACGGCCCAAGGCAGCCTCAAAACATGAAAAAGGCCCCAAGAGGCCTCCAGGAGGGCCCAAGGTCGCCGAAGTAACGCTTTAACACGCCCAAGATGGTCTCCAGACTGCCCAACAGGCTTCGAACACGGCCCAAGAGCATTCCCAAAAGAGCCCGAGGAGGCGAGCATCATTGATGTTCTTTCGGCTCTTGATGGATTTTCGCGTTTCTGCTGTTTCGGTTTCCCGACGCTCCAAGACGGTCCTGGAGGCCCGAAATCTCGCCCCAACATGGCCTCAGAGGCCCCCAAGTGGGCACCGAGACGGCCTACGAGGCCTCCCAAACGGCCCAGAGGCTCCCAAGGCAGCCCAAGAGAGCCCCAAGAACGCTTCAAGAGGCACCCCAGAGGTGGAACACGAACTGACATTTCGAGCCCTCCACCCCTTGAGGGCCCCGAAGAGACCCCAATCGGCTCCCAAGAGGCCCGCAAGAGGCCCCAAGAAGTCCCCAAGGTGCCCACAGGAGGCCCCAGGAGGTCCCCAAGAGGCCTCCCAACGCTCCTCCCAGGCGCCCTGAGACACTCCTGCCGATCCTCGACGCCGTCCCATCACCGAGTGCCAGTTGCATCCCATGTCCCGCTCGCCCGCCCGACTATGCTTCTCTCGCGCGTCGTCGTCGTCGTCGTCGTCGTCGTCGTCGTCGTCGTCGTCGTCGTCAGTAAAGGCCACCTGGAGGGCGTGATGAGCGTCTGGCGGTGATACTTTAGCGATTTAGTGCCCATTCGGAGCTGTCCTGGACGTCTCTTCTGGTGTCTTTGGGTCCTCTGGGGCAGTGTGGCGCCCTGGAGGGGGCCTCTGAAACCGTATTGGGGCGAGCTCTGGTCCTGCTGGGGCTGTAGGTTTATGTGTTTCTCTAGTCGTGCATCCGTAAGGGCTTCGCCCCCATGCCGCCGGCCCCCTCTCTAGAATGGGACTTGCCAGAGCTGTGTTGGGATGTCTGGACGCTGACGTGAAGCAATGTCGGGACTGCCCGCGAGGGCCAATCTTAATTTAAAAAGGCTTTTGGCTTCGGTGGCGCGAGTATTAGGTAATTTGCTATAGTTGATGGCTTCGGGGACGCGACTATTGTGTAGTGTACGAAGGTGTGTGATT